CGTGCCCTGCACAAGGCTCCTTATTACTTTTTGCTGGACCTGTGCCTGGCCGACGGCATACGCTCTGCCGTCTGCTTCCCCTTTGTGCTGGCTTCTGTGCGCCACGGCTCCTCATGGACCTTCAGTGCGCTCAGCTGCAAGATTGTGGCCTTTATGGCCGTGCTCTTTTGCTTCCATGCGGCCTTCATGCTGTTCTGCATCAGCGTCACCCGCTACATGGCCATCGCCCACCACCGCTTCTATGCCAAGCGCATGACACTCTGGACATGTGCAGCTGTCATCTGCATGGCCTGGACCCTGTCTGTGGCCATGGCCTTCCCACCTGTCTTTGATGTGGGCACCTACAAGTTTATCCGCGAGGAGGACCAGTGCATCTTTGAGCATCGCTACTTCAAGGCCAATGACACGCTGGGCTTCATGCTTATGTTGGCTGTGCTCATGGCAGCTACACATGCTGTCTATGGTAAGCTGCTCCTCTTCGAGTATCGTCACCGCAAGATGAAGCCAGTGCAGATGGTGCCCGCCATCAGCCAGAACTGGACATTCCATGGCCCTGGGGCCACCGGCCAGGCTGCTGCCAACTGGATCGCTGGCTTTGGCCGTGGGCCCATGCCACCAACCCTGCTGGGTATCAGGCAGAATGGGCACGCAGCCAGCCGGCGGCTGCTGGGCATGGACGAGGTCAAGGGTGAAAAGCAGCTGGGCCGTATGTTCTACGCGATCACACTGCTCTTCTTGCTCCTCTGGTCACCCTACATCGTGGCCTGCTACTGGCGAGTGTTTGTGAAAGCCTGTGCCGTGCCCCACCGTTACCTGGCCACCGCTGTTTGGATGAGCTTCGCCCAGGCTGCTGTCAACCCGATCGTCTGCTTCCTGCTCAACAAGGACCTCAAGAAGTGCCTGAGGACTCACGCCCCCTGCTGGGGCACAGGAGGTGCCCCGGCTCCCAGAGAACCCTACTGTGTCATGTGAAGCAAGCTGGTAGGCAGACAGGCAGGGAGAAGGTCATGGCTACTGTGATGGGGCCAGCAGTAAGGGAAGGGTGGGCCCCATACAGGAGCCTTTCTTTCTGAGCTCCAGCCCTAGCCCCTTGAACCACCCGGAATCGAGGCACCTTTGCCAACACCTCCCCAGGGTTGGAGACTGGGGTGGGGGACTGGGAAAGAGGCATTTCTAATTCTGTGGGGCCTGTCTCCGCTGCCTCCTTCTCCACTTCTACAATCTCTCTCCTTTCCTCTCTCTCTCTTTCTTTCTCTCTCTTTCATCCTCTCTCTCTCAGAAGTGACAATTCAGAAAAAGAAACTAAGACTGAAAATGCAGGTTTTTCTACTAACAGCTGAGGAGACAGGCTTTCTTGCTTTAATGTCTCTCCTTCTGACATAGTCCAGAAGTGGGAAATTTGTCCTGTAAAATAGACTTCCAGAGCTCTTATTGCCCCCTCTGCTCCCATGCACCCTCCCCTTCCGAGTCCTTTAGCAAGGGCTGGATGTTTAGGGAGAAATTCATCTGCTGACAACCGGGACCAAAGGGGGTGCTGGGTCCCCAGGGAGCAGAGACGTTTAATTGCTATGTTGTGTGCAATGTTGTTTTAAGCTAACCCTGGTCCCAAGCCTGGTTTCCTCTCCCTCCCCACCATGTCCAGACCTCCCAAGTGTTTCTTGAGCATCTGTCCAAGAAGCCAGGAGGGAAGGGAGAAGGACCCTTGGGATGGGCCCAGGCTAGGTGAAGAACGGGATGTGAGCTGCACGCCTCAAGCTGAAGAGACCCGAGCTTAGCTGCATTCTTTCGAGCTGCCTCCTGGATCCCCAGCCCCCAACTCTTCTTCCTGAGGATGGAAATCCACTCCAGCCCCACTAGGGCTGATGTGGGTGCCATACAGGCAGGAGCATTCCCCCAGGGAAGTGTAGGGAGAGAGCCAAACTCCCCAGAGTAACTGGATCCCAGCACCTGGGGTCAGAGCAGAACTCAACCCCAGAATTGTCTCCTGGGTTCACACTATTCTGAGGATGAAAAGTTGGGGGGTGGCCTTGGTATAACACATAGTGGTTTAAGCTCCAAGGCACTGTGGACTTGAGTCCATTCCTATCTGACCTCTTTTTGTCCCCTTCAAGCCTCGGGAGCCTCAAGCCCCTCTTAGTAGCCCTTGGCCTTCTGGGCCCTCAGCCCCCAACTTCCTTCCCCTGAACAGCCCTTCTCCCCCTTCCTCCCTCCACCCAAAGTGGAGCAGACTGCAGCCAGATTCTCCAGGTGGGAGAGCCCAAGCCTCCCTCCCAGGGCAGAGTCCACTCTGGGCTCACATCACTGCCAGTTCTTATGGACTGGTGAGCCAAGCTGGCATTCCTTTGCCTGGCCTTGCCCGGATTCTTTGTCCCCCTCTTGTTTCCTGAGGGAGGGGGAGATCTGTATTTATCTACCCCTTTCCCCTTCCTGATAGAAGCCGTTGTCCTAAGCTCCCTCCCTACCCCCACGACAGCCCCGGAACTGGGGAAGCCTTGACCCAAGAGGAATGGGGAGGGCACTCTAGGCAGGAGAGACATGAATGAGCCTGGCTGTGGAGTGGTCCTAGAAAGGCAGGCCAGAGTGGCTGAGAGGCTGGGGTGGAGGGTACCTGTTCTCTCAGTAATAGTGATGGGGGTGCCTTTCCCAGGGAATGGGGTGGGGGGGAACCACAGGGGTGGGAGTAGGTAGGGTACATTCTGGAGGGTTTTCCTCCATTTCTTTTTTCTAACTGCCTGGATTCACCATTGGATTTTGTAAATGGAAAACTGAAAAGAACAATGCTATATTGGATGTTTTCTCTTTCTGACTCTGTGTGTGTGTGTGTGTGTGTGTGTGTGTGTGTGTGTGTCCTGTCTGCATGACCACACGTGGGGAGATATGGTCAAGTGGGACTGTGTCTGTGTGACTTTGTGTGGGGAGGCACCACTGCCTGGTGCACACATGTGAGCAAATGCCTGTATGTGGAGACATATGGCGCACACACACACGTACATGTATGCACCTAATTGAAAGGAGACAAACTAGAGTTATGTGCCTGCAGTAGGAAGTAGAGTGGTCGGAGAAAAGAATTTTAAAACCATACGTATGTATGCAGCAAGAGGGTAGACTCCCATCGCGTAAAAATCTTCCTCCTTTGACCCAGGCTCTCAACATGGGGGGACAGGATACTTGAGAACCCCATCTCTTCCCAAAGCCTGGAGCCCCTGGGTACCATTCCAACTCCTGTATCACTCTCCTCTCCAAAATGCAAACAAGGTGTTCCTGAAAGTGGACCACTTTGGAGAATAGGGACTGGGAATTGGGGATCAAACCTGAATGGGGAACTAACGGGGTTAGAAATTGCCCCCTACAAAGTTATGGCTTCTGGAGGGACTGGTCAGTCGGGGATGGGAGCCCTTCTGAAGAGTCCACTGTATACCCCTGGGACTTTGGTAAGCTTTGACTAAATTCAGAGGAGGGATGTTACAGGGTGGTTAAACCTAAGCCTGGGCGTCTACCCAGCTAGCCTGCTCCCTGGGCACTCAATTTACTATTTATTTACTTATTCTGTCAGGTGCACAGAATTGAGTTGACCATACTCCTCAGTTCTTGGCACACTACATCATCGTTGGCCCATGCGAGTCCCTTTTATTCTTTGTTTTGTTTTGTTTCTTCCCCTTCATCACCCATCCCTGATCCAATACCCCCTCCCACATAGGCACCCACTCTCGTGTATTTAATGTATGTCCTTCCAATTCACCGTTCATGTGTTTATTTACATATATGTGTATCTGTGAAAATATATGGTATTGTTATGTGTTTTGATTCACATAAACAGTATTGTACTATAAATCTTGTTCTGTTTCTTTTTTCACTCAACATTCTGTTTTTGAGAGATTCAGCCTTGTTGCTGTACGTAGATCTAATTCATTCTAGTGGTCCATCTTCTACATATATCACATTTTTCTTATCCATTCCCCTGGTGATGGGTCTCTAGGTTGCCTCCAATTTCCTGCTACCACAGAAAGGCTGCAATGGGCAGTTTCCTACGTGTCTTAAGGATGCCTAATTTAGAGGGGAGGAAACTGAAACTCAGAGAGAGGCAGTGATTTGGTTAGGGCTACAAAGTGAGGAGCACACCCGTGATGTGAATCCCAGACCAAAGCCAGAACCCCACCACCATGCGTCAGGAAAGACCATCAATCTGGCCCCCCAAAATCTAAAATACAATTAAAAACGGCATACACTGAGGAAAGGATTGGAAGGAGGGCAAGTATCGAGTGGACGAAGAGATAGAAAACCCTAGAAAAATCTGGCGGACGAACGGAATCACAATCATTTTAATGACGCAGAGGAAGTTACTTTTGCGTGTGTGCTTATTTCTAGAGCCATTTTGCAGAGATGCAAAACGCCACGTCAAACTCTGGCCCCAAATGAAAGGTCCTAGGTTTCTAAATTCCAGGCTCCTTTAGGGCAACCCTAGCCCCGGGGGCCACATCACGGTTCGCCACAGGGACAAACGCCGGGAAGAGGAGAAGGGGCAGATTTAAGAAGTGCGTAGTTGTTGAGGGGAGGGCAGAGAAGGGGGAAAACGACACTGAGGCTCTCCCAATTTTATTTGGGCACATCCTGCTCAAAGCCTGCGTTTGTTTTTTGTTTTGTTTTTTGGTCTTCAGAGCCACTGGTACTTTTCCCATTGGATAAAACGCTGGAAGGGTGAGGGAGAGGGGCTTCTTCCCCTCAGCTTTCCTTGCAGCCAATCACCCTGCAGTGCCCCTCTCGTCGCTGGGGGAGTCAGCCCGATGATTGGCGGGCCCGAGAGGAGCCAATCGGAAAGCGATGAGGTGCGGTGTTGGCAAGCTGATTGCGTGAGAGCGGGCAGAGGTCGAGGGAGTGCGAGCGCCTCGGCGGAGGCTGGTAGCCAATGGAGAGACAGAACGGGCCCTTTGCGTCAGGGAGGGGGCGGGTCCTGGACGCTTGGCGCGGAGGGAGTAGGGCAGGCGCTGTGGGAGGGAACGCCAGAGCGAGGCTGTGAGGAGAGCTGGTCGGCTGAGGTGCTGCGGCTCGGCTTCAGGTGTGAGAGGCAGCGGCGGCCTGGCTGAGAGTGAAGGGGCGAGTGCGAGCCCCTGACCTGTGAGCGCGGTCACCATGGACCGCCAGGATGAGGGGCCTCCGGCCAAGGCCCGCCGCCTGAGTAGCTCAGAGCCCTCTCAGCACGACCAGCTGCCACCGCCGCCTCCGCCGCCGCTCCTGCGACTGCCCCTACCTCCACCCGAGCAGCGCCCGAGGCTCCGGGAGGAAACCGAGGCGGCACAGGTGCTGGCTGACATGAGGGGGGTGGGACTGGGCCCCGCTCTGCCCCCGCCGCCGCCCTATGTCATTCTGGAGGAGGGGGGGATCCGTGCGTACTTCACCCTGGGTGCTGGGAGTCCCGGCTGGGAGCCTGCGATGGAGTCAGGGTATGGGGGGGCGCCCCCGCCCACGGAGAGCCTAGAAACCTTCTCTCCTTCGGAGGCTTCTGGGGGAAGTCTGGAAATTGACTTTCAGGTAATAGAGCCCAGCAGTTTTGCCGGAGAGAAGGCCCTAGAAACCTGTAGCGCAGGGGAGTGGGAGTACCAGAGGTTAGCAGGTCCGAGGGGGAAGGAAGAGGCTATCATCATAGTGGAAGATGACGACGAGGATGAAAAGGAGAGTGTGAGGAAGAGGAGGAGGAGGAGGAAGAGGAAGCAGAGGAAGATGAAGAAGGAAAGCAAGGAGAGGAATGCCGAGAAGATAGAGTGCATCCTGCAGGCACTGGAAAACATTCAACTGGACCTGGAGGCGGTGAACATCAAGGCAGGCAAGGCCTTCCTCCGTCTGAAGCGCAAGTTCATCCAGATGCGAAGACCCTTCCTGGAGCGCAGAGACCTCATCATCCAGCATATCCCAGGCTTCTGGGTCAAAGCAGTATCCTTGTCATCTATATTCATGGGCTAGGAGCCCATGACAAAATGGGGGGGGAGGTGGAGGGGGAAGGGTGTGGGGGTGGACCCTTATTGGAAAAATGACTAGGTTTGGTGGAGGAGGAATGGAAGGAGAGGGGCAAAACATCAGAGAAGCTGGACTAGATAGAGATGGTGAAGGGGGAGAGGGGCACACAGCATAAAACCTGGGCCACAGATGGGGAAGAGGGGAGAGGAGGAACATAATATAAAAAAAAATGGATCACAGGCAGTGAAATGGGGAGGGTAACAGAGGGGCACACAGCAGAAAAATTAGACCAGAGATGGTGAAAGGAGGAGGGAAGGGACACACAGAAGATGAACTGACTCAGATATGGTGAAGAGGGAGGAGAAGGTCACATAGCAGAGAAATTGCCCAGAAACGGTGCCTAAGTCACACCTGGCTCTGCAAGGCTAGGTCTCTGCTTAGATACTAGGGAGACCCCAATCCTGGCTGACCCTAAAGGGTCAGGCAAAGGAGTACCTAGAAGTGGAGATCAAGGAGTTAAATGGAGGAAATAAGAGAGTAAGAAGAATCTCATTCACTATTGGTGAAAAGCTTATCTCTGGGGCACATACATACATATATGCAACATGTTAGGAACACAGGGGCTTAACTTCTTGGGGGAATTACATGGATATAGACCATTGGCACTCTCCTACAAAGTATCACATGATCACAGGCTGTCAGCACTCAGGCACACACAGTATTTTGTGGCCACAGGTCCTCAGTATGCAGACACACAGCATCACTTGGACACAAACCCTCAGACCCAGATACACAGTATGTGGACCCAGACCTGTAACACCCAAATAACATCATGTGACTCCAGGCCCTCAGCAACCAGATATAACATCACTAGGGCATGGGCCTTTAGCCCCCAGACACACAATGTCTTCTGAATACAAACTCTCAGCACCCAGGAACTCAACATCACAGAGACGTAGACCCTTAGCACCCAGACACACAGCAAATATGAACCAAGGCAAGGCAACCTAATACAGAGGTTTGACATTACATAAACACAGGCTCACCACATAGTATCATGGGAAGAAAAGTCTACTTGCTCCACACACATCACATAAACACAGAGGGAATTCTGCTCCAGCCTCTCTTTTGCTCTGCCCTGCCTGGCCTTCCCTCCCTCCTTCTCTCATTGAACAGTCACTCCTTGACCTAAACTGCTCCCTCCATCAGTTCCTCAACCACCCCAAAATTTCAATCTTGATCAACCGACGCGATGAAGACATTTTCCGCTACTTGACCAATCTGCAGGTCAGGCCAAAGATACATTTTTTACTAGGATTGGGCAAAGGATCTGGCCCTTGGAGGTGAGGTGGGTGGGGTGGGAGGGGCCTTGGTGTGGTGGGAATTCCAACGTTACCTCTACCCTGAGCAGGTACAAGATCTCAGACATATCTCCATGGGCTACAAGATGAAGCTGTACTTCCAGACAAACCCCTACTTCACAAATATGGTGATTGTCAAGGAGTTCCAGCGCAACCGCTCCGGTAAGAGGCAGTCCTAGGGAAAATCCACACCCCCACCCCATCTGTCCTTGTCCGCTGCCCTCTCCATAGCCTCCTTTCCCCCCAGGCCGGCTGGTGTCTCACTCCACTCCAATCCGCTGGCACCGGGGCCAGGAACCCCAGGCCCGTAGGCACAGGAACCAGGACACCAACCACAGCTTCTTCAGCTGGTTCTCAAACCACAGCCTCCCAGAGGCTGACAGGATTGCTGAGGTGGGGCCCCTCCTGGTATTGCCAGAGAAAGCCTTGCTAGGCTTGCCTCTGGATGCTTGGGGAATTGGGAGTAGGCTCTGGGGCTTGTACTCATAACTCTGTTCCCCTTCCCCCCACCCACCCTCTCTTTCAACAGATTATCAAAAATGACCTGTGGGTTAATCCTCTGCGCTACTACATGATGGGAGAAGGGGGCTACAGGGCAAACAGAAAGAAGCAAGAAAAGGAAGAAAGGTGATGGGGGTTTGGTGGCTGAGAGGTGGTTTGTTAGGGATGGGACAAAGATTAGGCTAATGTCACAGGATTTATAGAGCCAAAGGGATCTTTGACAGAATCCAGTCCAATATGTTTTACAAGTGGGGAATGATGCCCATAAATGGGGTGTGATTGGCCTGAGGTCATGTAGTCAGGAGCAGAAATGGGACTTTCCCCACCCTAACCTCATCCCTGGGATCCCTTGTAGCCTGCTGGCTCCCCAGTTACTATCTTTCAGTGTCTGCCTTGCCTGCCACCAACCCTATACTCAACCTCAGCCTTCTCCACAGTAAAAACAGGGACAAGTGTGAGGTGGTGATCCTGGAAGACTCTGATGACTATCATGTAATGGAAGACATTATCAGCGAGATCTCAGACAGCGATGGTACCACCGACAATGAGACCATTCATGATGTAAAGATCTCTGACTTCATGGAGACCACCGACTGCTTTGAGACCACTGACAATGAGATAACTGACATTAGCGAGAGCCTCTGTGACAGTGAGAGCCCCGACCACAATGAGAGCCCTGACAATGAGACCACTGACAACAATGAGAGCCCCGATGACAACGAGACCACTGATAATAATGAGAGCTCTGATGACAACGAGACCACCGACAACAATGAGAGTGCCGATGACAACAACGAGAATCCTGATGACAACAATGAGAACCCTGATGAAAACAGTGAGAACCCTGAGGACAACACTGATGACAACGAAGAGAACCCTGATGACAATGAAGAGAATACTGATGACGATGAGAACCCTGATGGTGACGAGAACCCTGATGGTGATGATGAGAACCCCAAAGGTGGCAATCATGGCAGTAATGGCAACAACCAGGATAGCAGCGACAGTGACAATGAAGGAGACAATGAGGGCAGTGATGATGAAGATAATGACGGCAATGAAGGCGACAACGAAGGCAGTGATGATGATGGCAATGAAGGTGACAATGAAGGCAGCGATGATGATGACAGAGACATCGAAGATTACAAGAATGACATTGATGACCCTGACAAGGATCAGGATAATAGCAACAACCAGGACGACTATGAGGATGAAGTAGAGAACATCTCTGAAGAAGAATCATCAGTGGAGGAGGAAGAAGAGGGCAGTGAGGAAGGTGAGCCTAGAGCCCCTCTTGTCTTCCCTCCTTTTCTCTTCTCAGAAAAGCTGGCCAGGGTCAAGGCATCAAGGCATGAATACAGTCTGCTCTTGTGGAGAAAAGAAGCGTTTTGTGCGACTTTTTAAACAAAGCAAGGCCAAGGAACCTTTAACTTACAAACATAGCAGAACCAAAGAAACAGATTCCAGTTCTAGGTGGTGGGTAGATAAGTTGTAACAGAGCAAAAGACACAGGAAGAGTGAAGAGATAGGAGAAGGTGGGTAGAAAACTGAGAAGGACAGGTTCACACACAAAATGTGGGGGGAAGTGACAAACATTATAATAAAGCATACTCTGTACCCCGACAAGGGCTTCAGGGAACTCTCAGGCTTATTTGTCTTTTGGGAGGATCCTTCACTAGTCCTGAAAGCTGCTTCTCACAAAAACGGTCAGTAGTCAGTTATGTTGGGGACATACTGCATACATTAATATTCTCAGGTAGAATCACATGTACATTAGCCCCTTAAAGGCTCTGAAAAGTCCTGCTGTAAGAAACCCATTTAAACATTGTGGAACCCAGCATTTCCCAAACTTCTTGACCACAGAAGCTATTGTTTACTGTTCACCAAAGCATGCATTTTAGAAAATGCTGAGAAAGGTTTGCATGTGGGGGTTTGAGGGAGAAGGCAGTATTTAAGATGACTTCCAGGTTTGGTCTGGCCTGGATGACTGGCAAACAGAGGTGCCATTTCTTAGAAGGATGGAGAATGACATGGCGGCAGGATTGATGAGATGCAGGGAGGAACATGGGGTTGGAAAGGCTTGTTGGACATAAGGTACAGGTAGCCCAGGCAGGTGATTGGTTATATGTCTGGGAAGTCAGAAGATGTAAATAAAGGGGGTAACAAGCCAGAGCAGAATCCTAGCCCTGGATTCTGGGACCAGTTAGCATTAATGAAGTGTTTACTATGTGCCAGGCACTATTCTAAGTGATTTACTTATTTTAGTAATTCATTTAATCGTCACAGCAACTCTTAAGAGGTAGGTGCTATTATGGATGAGTAAACTGAGGCTCTGAGAGGGTAGAATTAGGAAGAGAACTGAGTCCTGGAACATTCTCAGAAGGAGGGGATTGTCAGCAGTATCCAGTGCTGCTGAAAGATCAGGTAAAATGAGGACTGAGATGTGTCCATTGGATTTAGGGCTGTGACCTTGGCAAGAGTAGTTTCAATATATTAGTGGGGGCAGAGCCAGATCCACAGTGGAATAGGAGGCAATGAGCAAGGGGCAAGGCAGTAGAGTCAAACCTTAGCTAGGAAGGTATTGGTAGAGGGAGGGCAAGGGAGATGTTTGAGCCTGGCGGTGGGCAGGCAGACCTTGGAGAGGCAGGCCCCTGGGGGAGGTAGAAGGGGCTGGAAGACCAACCACTCCTGGGGGTTTTGGCCATGGGGTCTCTGGCAAATTTCCATTGAGGGCAGGGGCAAGGAAGGAGACATTGAATGAGTGAGTAAATTCAATGTGGACATAGATTCAGTTAGAGTAGGGAAACAGGGAGTTGCCACCGGATGGCATCTTTCAGAGAAGGGGAGGAAGAGCTGTCTGCCCAGCCCTAGGGTAGGAGTGGAGGTGGGGAATTGGGCTAAAGAAGACAGACTGGGCCTGTTTGGATCAGACTGTGGTGAAGGAGCAGGGGAGCTGCCTTGGAATGAACAGGTTTATTCAGCTGAGGTCAGAGCTCAGGAAGACACACACATTGACATTACACAGGGAGAAAAAGCGACTTTCGGAGATGTATCAATTTTGATAGGCCAGAAGCAGGGAGCCTACCCTGCTTTCCTGCTTCCCTTCCACTCCTCCCTCACTCCAGGCTTGCTTGAGTGTACACACACACACACACACACACACCCCCAAGCAGGCTTGCTTGAGTGTACACACACACACACACACACACACACACCCAAGCAGAGGTGCTTAGCAAGTGTTCCAGGCCCCCAAAACCCTGGCTATGGGCTGTGTTCCCTGTTAAGAGTGCTATCCTCTAGCTTCCAGAACCGTGAGAAGATAAATTTCTATTGTTTAAACAAACAACAAAAAAAAATGACATCTACCTGTTCATCTAACCACCCTCCGGTTTTCCCCTCCTTGCCTCTCTCCCTCTTTGCAGACAGTGCACAAGAAGGCGAGGAGAGCGATAACGAGGAAGGAAGTGATAACGAGGAAGGAAGCGATGAGGAAGGGATCGAAGAAGACTCAGAAGGAGGGGAAGACTCTGAAGATTCCGACATGGAGGAGGTGCTTCAGGTCCAAAATGCTTGGGCCAACCCGGGGAAGAGGGGCAAAACTGGATAAACATTTTACCCTTGCAGGGGCTGCCTCTCCGTATCCCTCTCCCCCTGCCCCATTTGCCCTCCCCCTCAGCTAGGGCCGTGCGGCCCCACATTGCACTTCTGGGGGGTGACCGACTTCGTACACGGGTTTAAAGTTTATTTTTATGGTTTAGTAATTGCAGAGTTCTTATTTTGGGGGGAGGGAAAGGGGCATTCCCCCTTCCTTTTGGCCCTCCTCCCCTGCAGGCTTCTGTGTGCTGCTAAACGTATTTATTGTGATGCCTTGGTCAGGGCCCCTCTATCCCCCTCCTCGTGCTGTGTGGAGTGGACACCCTTGATCCCGAAGCGGGGAGGGCCGCTGTGGCCTTGGGGGGCTCTGCTGCCACCCTGTTCTCTCAAGCCTCTCTTTCCCTCCATCCCTCGCCCCCCCCCCAACGCTGTGCCCGCTAGCCCGCCTTGGTGTCTATGCAAGGCCGCTTGTCATTGCGGTATTCCTACCCCCCTCCCCCAGAAGCCCCTCCTTGTTCCTTGTGAACCTTGGTAATCCTAATAAAATTCTGAGCAAATTCAAAGTGCTGCTTCTAGTCTTTTGTCCCGCTTGGCGAGCCATCCCCAGGAGCCAGTCTCTCTTCCACAGACCCTCAAATCGCCGCCTCCTCTATGCACTGGTCTGCAAGATGGTGGTGTGTGGGTGGCGGGGGGATGTTTGGCTTTCTCGGGGAGAGCTCTGCGGGCCGCAGAGGTGTTGCGTCAGACCAATGCGGACCATCCTGGCCAATGGCAGGGCGAGGCTGAGAAAGCCCCACCCCCTACCAGCGGCAGCAATGGACCCCGGCAGGTAGCAAACAGCTTCCCACGCCTTCCCCTCTTGCGCAGGCGCACAGAAACGCCCTGCGCCCTAGAATATGCGTTTGTTCAGTGATTCATCTTTTTATTTATCGTGCGTCAAAACCTTTCCTCAGGCCTAGTGTGAGCTGGGCATGGGGAGCCATTGGAATCCATTTTTCTCATTTGCATGTAGTTTTTAAAAAATGATAATCTGTCAAGACGTGACATCCTAATAATGCAGGAATGCTCTCCCGTTTTAGAGGGTGCAGGATTCCTGGAACTGGGCCTAGAAGAGAAGGCAAGAAAAGATGGCTCGAGCCAAAGAGTGCATAGAGAGAAGGGGAAAGCAAAGGGAAATTACTAGGTAGCTGTGTGATGGGGTGGGGGAGGGGTCGGGAGTTGGGTGTCTGAAAGGCAGACCTTGGGAAGGCTGAGTTGTTTTAGATTTTGGATGGAGTAACTTTATTTTGGCGGACACCAGAAATACCTCCAGATTCTTTGTGGCTCATAATGATAACTTATACAAATATCCAGGTTGGTCTTCTGCAATATACCTCCAGAATTTTCCATCCAACGCCCATGTTTTAATGGAAAGCTTCAGATACAGTCAGATTTCAGTTTCAGAGAATGCCCTCTGCTGGATGCCAGGAGAATGGATCGGAGGGAGGGAGAGCAGTGAGGAAATTGATGCTATTCCTCAGGTGAGAGTGGTGTAATGGGCGGATATGGGAGGATTTTTAAGTACATTTTTTATTTTAAAAGTTTAAGATTTATAGAATTATTGCGAAGATAATACAGAGAGTACCCATATACCCCACAGCGAGTTTCCTCCATTGTTAACATCTTGCATTAGCATGGTACATTTGTCACAATTAATGAACCAATATCAATACATTATTATTAACTAAAGTCCATACTTTATTCAGATTGCCTTAGTTTTTAAGGTAATTTTTCTGTTACAGGATGCCATCCAGAATAGCATATTACATTTAGTTGTCATGTCTTCACAGGCTCCTCTTGGCTGTGACTGACTGTTTCTCAGACTTTCCTGGTTTTTTGATAACCTAGAGTCATCAACATTTGAGCAATAATGGTCAGGTATTTGGTAGAATGTCCCTCAATTGGGATTTGTCTGATGTGTTTTCTCATGATTAGATTAGGGTTATGGGTTTGGGGAAGGAAGATCACAGAAGGAAAATGCCATCCTTATCATATCAAGGGTACACACTATCAATATGTCTTATCACTGTTGATGTTAACTCTGATCACCTGGCTGAGGTAGTAGTGTATGTCAGGCTTCTCCACTGTAAAGTTACTCCTCCTCCCTGCCCCAGCCCCCTTTCCATACCATACTCTTTGGAAGGAAGCCACTAAGTGTAGCCCATGCTTAGGGAGTGGGGAGTTAAGCTCCATCTCCTTGAGGGGGAAGTATCTACATAAATTAATTGGAATTCTCCTGCACGAGAAACCTATCTATTCTGTGAGAGCTTTTTAGATGCTGGAATCAATAGGCTTTAGATATGGGAAAAGAGGGGATCCCAAGAGGAGTCAGGGATGACTGCCAGGTTCTTGTGGGACCTTTGGCAAGGCCCCTTCCCTCCCTGGGCCAACTCTATGAAATAGTTGGAACACCAGATCTTTGACCTACTCCATGATTCTGATAAATGTTTTTTGGGGGGGAGAGCATGATGGCTTTGATTCCTCTGGTTCTGACCTGGGACTGCACTGTCAGAGGTGGGTAGAGGAGACTCTAGCCTGGCCAGAGCTGAGAGTTCAGGATCCTGAGTCAAAGGCATCTTGTGTGGAGGGAAGAAATACCTACATGCATAATCAGGAGCTAGTCCCAATGACCAGGGGGTGAAGTAGAGGGGAAAACAGCAGAGGCAAAAGGCCTGGAGTGGGCCAGGGGAAGAGGTCAGCCTAGCAAAAGGATCCCAGCCAGTCTGAGAGAAAGACGGCTTGGGTATCCTTCCCTCAGTGTGCTCTGCCTCACAATGTGATTCCATCACCCTCGCTAGAGGGCCTGAGTTTTCCCATCTGCAAACTTAGGTTAATCTTCCTGGGGGATCAGCCCTGGAGAAGCAACCTGCCTAGGATCCCAAGATGGAGATGAGCCTTGAGGCAGACCTCTGAAGCTTGGCCCTCATCATGTCCTCCCTGATTCTTCTCTGCTCCCCTAATCAAGTCCCCAGCCCTTCATCCTGGCATTTGAGGCTCCTTTTCACTCACCTTGTCAGAGAAGGCGTCTGGCTTCAGGGACACTGTTAGGAGCCAATTTTGGGATTCTAATATATTTGGCTAGGGTGCTCATGTTTTGGATTGAGGCATGGGAGGAAAAGATGTTCTTTGCCTAGAGTGACATCTTTTTCCTGTGTCCTCACTCCTCAGTGTGTGGTGTGGTTTCAGGTCCTGCCCAGTCTGGCCCTCCAAAACCAAGGGCTGTTCTTGAAGGTCTTTAAGGTCACAACCAAGTGCAAAATATAGTCTTTGCTGAAGACCAAAGAAGACAGCCCCCTCTTTGCTGGGACCCTAAACGGAAACCAGAAGGAGAACAGGTGGGGTGGGGGGTGAGGAGTCAAGAGCCTGCTGTGCCCCAGGGTCTGTTCCCATGCTGAAGCTACTTGTCTTTGTATCCTTCACAGCTTACCCCACTCCTCTGCGGCAGAGGGCCCTGCACATGGGGATGAGGTTCTCAGGGACCAGGTTCTCCTGGGACCAAACTTTCAAAGTTCCACACACTTCTGTGAACAAAAGCAGATTGTCAGGGACAAAACCAGATTCAGGAATATCCCTCCTTCTCAGGTGACCAAGAGTGCCAGCACTGGCTCCCTTGGTTGAGGAGGAATCCTATTTATTCAGGAAACATTTATTGAACACCTACTGTGTGTCTGATACTAAACTGGGTGATAAGGATACAATAAAGAAACATGATAAACCAGGTCTGTCTTCCTTCCCAGAGTTTGACAATTTGTGCCACAGACCTGTTTGGTGATCTGGTGAAGCCTATGGACCCTTCCTCAGAAAACAATTTCTTTTAAGTACATAAAGTACCTAGAGTTACAAAAGAAACTGATTATATTGAAATATAGTTATTAAAATATGGAAAAAGCAGATATGTGCTTTGGTAGTGTATGTGCTCCTCACTAATCCCTTAAATCATAAGATCTAGTGGAGGGTCTAATGACTATCATGATATTAAAATAGAGATGAGATTACATGATATTTCAACAGATCTATAACATCTATAATGTGATATGAAAATCTCTGTGATTTCTATTGGTGACAGAACCACAGATACTACTACTATGTTACATTCTTTACTGAAAAAATGCTAAATTTCAATTAAAGATGTATATTTTTTCCCATCCAAATGCAGGGGCCCCTCCAAACCCTGTCCCCAGACCAGACTGGAGGTCCATTGACCCAATTAAGAACCCCTGATAATAGAAATGTTCTTCCCGTCTCTCCTTCCTTCTTGAATAGCTTTCCTTTGGAGGACAGAATTTGGGTTTTATTCAGGGTCTTATTGCTGTGTAACCTCAAGCCAATCAGTTTGCTTCTCTGGGCCACATAGTTTCCTCAGTCTGAAACAATGAGAAAGGCAAGAAATTAAAAGGGGAGACCTTAACTATATATGCTCCAGGCAATTAATTTGTGTACTCTCAATCCTCACAAAGGCATTGTCAGGAAGGATTTTTAAAAATTATCTTCCCATTTCACAGATGGTTAAACTGAGGCTCCTAGCGAGGTTGTCACTTGACCAATGTCTTAGCGGCAGGGGCTGGTGTGTGACTGGCCAGACCCCCATAACCACCTCATCCTCCATGGGTGAAATTAGGAACTACGCTCATTTTGGGCAAAAGAAACCTGACTCAGAAATCCCTGCAGGTCGGGGGTAGAGTCGTGTCTCTTAGACCGTTGGCTTACGCAAGGTGGCTTACGGAGAGTAAGACGTCAAGAAGCCGGGCATTTACAATTGTTCAGTGACTCCCGCCCAGCCTACTTTGGGCTTCGCGTCTGCGTGTTCCCAACTAATTCCCAAAGGCCTGTCAAATGGCCTGGCAAAAGGCAACGACAAGTCCTCCTCTCCGGGCCAATCCTGTGAAAGGGTGGGCTTGGCTCATAAACCAATCAAAGACCCCCAGGGGGGCGGAGTTTTCTTCGGCCTGGATCCCGGCCTGGGGGGTAAAACTA